TTTATATGGGTTAAACCACCAACCGTTATAGAAAGTCGATTTTTTTTATATAAAAAAATAATCGCATTTAAAGCCACTTATATATATATGTGATTTTATATTTTAAAACGTTGATTTTAAATTATATCAACCACATACTATTAATCATACTTACTGAAATTACAATATTCCCACCTACATAGTATCGTATCATATCAACAATATTCAACCAAAATTACATACGATTTTAAAACATACTAGTAACATCCAATAAAATTACTATGAAATGCTTGTCACTAAAAAACAATGTCAAATCCTCTTGGGTCTTGTTGATACCATATTGCATAATTATTGAATACCTGCAGTATGAATAATCAAAGTAAGCATCCTTAAAATACATAAAAGCAAGCATAAGGAAAATATATCAAAGTACTACAATTACAAATATAAACACAAACAAAAAGTTATCACTAACTAATACAGTACGTAGTATGAATCAACATAATAGCTGCAACTAAGGTAATAACTACTAAAGTATTCACACTAAAAATCTTCCATTTACCATTGAAAATCCAAATCAATATGACAATATGTAAGCCATTGCACTAATATAAAAGATATCAATACTTGCATAACTCCTACATAATAAATAAGTAGCAAATTGAGCTTTGTTAAATATTAAAACCAGAGGGACTGGTTTTATTTATCCTCTTAACAAAACCAAAGGCTAACTCATTTTATTTATTAGCACCAAAATCAGATGCCACAACATTCAAGTAAAAACCCCACCATTATTTATTAGCACCAAAATCAGATGCCACAACATTCAAGCACTAATTGTTCAATTGTCTGATTGTCTAATGATTAAGATTTAAAAGTATCCATTTGGCTTGTAAGTTTTGGATAGAAATAATTTAGCAGGGGACAACACAAATATGAGCCACTGATTTAGTGCCTCTTCTACATTTGAGTTAATTTTTTCCTGACCAAAAGAATAAAATATTTATAATTTACACTTCACATATGTCAAGTAATGTGTTTCCAATTTATCTTATATGAAGGTTATAAAGTCCTAACCACTCTATTTAGTGATGGAGAGATACTATCTCCTTTGAGAACTTCCGAATATTCCAATTACAAAATATGGACCACTAATTTAAAAGTATCCATTTAGCAGGAAACAACACAAATATGAACCACTGATTTAGTGCCTCTTCTACATTTGAGTTAATTTTATACCGACCAGAAGAATAAAATATTTATAATTTACACTTCACATAAGTCAAGTAATGTGTTTCCAATTTATCTTATATGAAGGTTATAAAGTCCTAACCACTCTATTTAGTGATGGAGAGATACTATCTCCTTTGAGAACTTCCAAATATTCCAAATACAAAATATGGATGTCAAAAGTAGTTCATTTTATCTTTAATCTATGACTGAGGCAGTTTACGGTGCGGCCTCACACATTCATTTGATACAAATAGAACATTTCCTTTTCTTGCTAGAACTATATATCTAGTCTGGCGCTGGTTCAGTTGAATCCTATGATGGTATTACTGAACTAAAATTTAGATTACAAAAGCTTGGAATGAGTGAAAGTAGATCAATCATGATTTCAGAAGCATGTGCAATCAAATTAGTGGAAATATGAAGAGTCAAAACTACCTGCCCATTTCACTCAATCTTCCTGCTGCAGTGGATGAAGATTGGTCCTTAAAGATGATTGCAGACCCAATTCTAAAGATACCATGGGTTCTACCCAAAGCAAGATATTTATATGTTTGATGATCCCTCTCCTTGGAAAGAAAAAAAACTGGGAACACTGCAGATGTCTCTGGATGACAGCAAAACCAGCTCAATGACTTCAGACTAGGTGACACTGCAACCTATGTATAGAGTGTGCATTAGCAAAGTATATCAAGAAGTCCATAAAGAACTTAAGGGATTTTATAACTAAGAAATGAAAGAACAACCATCTTTAGAAAAATCTCTACTCAATTGTAGAGCTGCAGAATGATTACCACAAATTGCAAGAGATCAAGACTCATCATTTAGAAAAACAGATTATGATAAAGTAAAAAATTATGATTAGAGAGCTAATTAAATTATACCTGCTATGAGTAACTACCTCTTTAGCTGCCTGCACATCATTAAGTTAAAACATTAAGAACTCTTGAATACAATGGTTGCCAAATAACCTAACTAAATGCTGAAATAAGATCCACTACTACAATCTAATTGCTTCAACAACTACTCAATGTTAATTAATACTAAATTAACTACACTTTTTCTTTGAATTCTTTGCCTGTACTAAATCACTTCTACTCATGACTTTTTCCAATGTTATAAAAGAAAACTATCAGTAATAAAGCACTTAAAGAAAATAAAAAAGACTATTACGCTTAACTCCAGGCACAATATATATAATATATTGTATAAATGCGATATAATAACAGTATAATACGCAAAATGATATATATGAGAATAGAATAAGAGAGGTGGTTTAAGAGGTTTTACCATTAAATTTGAAAAACGCATAGGTGGATGATCATTTCTGAATTCCTTTAGCACTTTGCACATATTGAATGGGATTGGTCGAACACTAAAGTGTCCCAGATCTGCATATAAGAACTTGGTTCCTGGGTTAATAATTTGACCATTAGAATGAGAAAGCTGTGAACTGTAACAAATCAATATACATATTCTGGTAAACATTATAAACAACAGTTGCAGTCAAAATGAAACTTCTAAACTAAAACTAATTAACTAGAACTTATCATATTTTCTCTGAAATTTCAAGGAAATAAACAACCCGTAAATGGAAATGCATACAACAGTTGCAGCCTAAGTGAAAAAATATTCAGAATATTGTTAATTGAAAAAATTGAGAATTTACCTAAAGTGGAAGAGGGCTGATTGCGGGTTATGGAGAACAGTAATCCGTGCGTCCTCTTCTCCGATTGAGGCAGAGCAGTGCACGAGTATTAACGGAGAACAACATTCCAACGTCTTCTTCTGTTAAACTGGACAGCAGCAGTCGCCGTCTTCGTCGAAGTCGCCGGGAGTGGCGGCGGCGGCGTCTTCGTCGATTGACCTGGAGCAGCAACGGTCGTCGTCTTCATCGATGTCAACGGGAGTAGCAGCGGCGTCGTCTTCTTCTTCTGCTGACCCGGAGAAGTAGCGGCCGTCGCCTTGGTCGAAGTCGCTGGGAGAAACATCTGGATCTTCTTTCTTTGTCGCTTAGGCAAAGGGATAAGTTTGCCCTAGTCCTGCAGTTTTGGAATTAAATAATTAATGGCCACTTTCTATAAGGGTAAAAAATGAACTGACATTGAACATCATTTTTGAAAATCATAAAAGAGCCCCCATTTTGAAATTATGTTTGCGGAAATTGTAAAAAAGACCCCGTTTCAGTTTACTATGTCGGTTGTATTTCTAACCGTTATAAAAAACATTTTTATATTTATAATACTCACCCGTCTAACTTACTCAAATTTTCATTATTTATAAAGATGACCCCGTGCCTACATATTACAACGGTCTTAAGTGAACCCATATTAAAACCTAGTTATAGAATATATATTTTGCACTAGTGACTCTACCAATTATGAAACCATGCTCAGCTAGACAGACACTGCACTTCAAATTTGTCTGTCAGACAGACAACCCTTTTTCATGTGGAGTTGGACGAAAAAAATATCAAAAAATGAGGAAAAAATAGCAAAATGACGAAACAGTGCCTCACATGACGAATGGGGCTTCCCCCGGCCTCTACCGTCAGAGATCTGAGGCGTCGGGCTGTGCTTTGATTTATGGAGGATTTCGGATCGACGAGCGTTGAGGAGAGGGGAATGATTGAGGTGTTGGAAAAAACGAAAAATAGAGTACGTACCTCATTATTTGAGAAGGGATGGTTACCTTAGAGACAACTAGATGGGGAGATCTTGAAACCTTCAAAAATGGAGATGAGAGCTCTTGAAATGAAAAGAGGAGAAAAAATGGGAATGGGGGTGAGAGAATAGCAAGGGACGAATGGGAGAAAGAAAGAGAGGGTGTGAGATGAGAGATGTTTGAAGAGGTAAAAAAATGGTAAAAATATGAAGGCTTTTATATGGGGTACAAATTGGGGTAGGATTGGGATACCTATAGCATTTTTTGTGGTACAAATTAACAATATTTGTGTTACTAATAGGAGTGCGGGGAATCCAACACCAATGTTGTATTGGACTGTTCACGAATAACATGCCATTTTGAATTATTAGTTTTTTGGTTGCGATAAATGTATAACATTTAATGAATTTCTAGGTGTATTCAACATTATTGTTATTTCAAAAATGTCGAATAATAGAAATCTTGGTTGAATTTGTTGCTCAAATTTGGTATGGATGAACTAGTTGGACTTGATGACGAAGATACGAAAAAATTCAACAAAAAATATCACCGGGAACCACTTCAAATTGAGGTGGCCGGACCACCCTCCTGTCCGGCCTGACCGGACAGAAATATTTGTGCATGTATGTGTGTGTATGATTGTCAAATAAATAGGGAATTTAAATTTATAATCACTCATTTACAAACCACCTTACCTCACCCACTTAAAAATACTCCCTCAATCTCATTGAATTTTGTTAATTACTTTGTGTTGTTTAAAAAAGTGTGATTTTTCTTTTAAAATAATGAAATTATTATTTAGCTTATTTGTATCTCTTTCACATAAATCTCTATCATAAAAAATTCTTATTAAAAAATTTTGGAATCTCTAGATGGAGGTAATACGTTACGAGGGTGTTAGGATGTGCTTTCTAAAACTGATTCTGCTTCAGAGATCATAAACATATATTGAAATGTTTAAATGAAAGTGTAGAATTATTTCTGATTATTCCAAATTACTCATAGAATCAGTTTTTTTAAAGTTAGAAGGAATTAGCTTCGGTAAAACTGATTCTAATTGTTTTTAGGCAGAATCAGTTCCAAACATCCCTATATATTTAAAAGTATAGCTCCCAAATACTCTTACAGCTTCCCACTTAAAATGGTGAAAAGCATCCATCCATAAAACTACGTGAGATGAATATGAATTATCTCTAAGGCGCGGCCTATATAGTGGATACGCAGATCCAACGTATACCGTTCTACTTCTGCTTCTTTTCAAAACCCTCCCCAGAAACCCAATCAAGAAGCCGGAACAAGATTTCCAGAACAATGCCTCCTCGCGCATCCAAGAGAAAAGCTAATCCAACCAAATCCGTCCCTGCCAAGGCTCCTAAAGTTGATTCTGTTCGCTCCGGTAATCCCCTCTTTTCTCTGTACATATAATGTTTTTTAATTTAATTGTTGGGAAAATTTTAGCTCACTTTGCTTTCGTAATTCTCATGATGTTTTTGTGTTTGCTGGATGCCCCATTGCATGGAGAGCTGTAATTGCTTCTGGCGAAAACGTGAGATTTACTGGGTTTGCTAGATAAGATTGGGCTTATGCTGAAAGATTTTGGATAATTTTTGTGGCCAAACGATTTAATTCTGTCCTTTAGTCATGATAATGGCTTCTGATTCTTCAATGAAGTGATATATTGGTCCTTTTGATTATAGGAGGGTGAAATTTTGACAGTTACTCCCCGGATTAGAATCCCACACTTTTTTCTTAAATATTTAGTATGCGTTTACTGCTCGTACTCCTCTTTCATACATATGCTATTACTTTTTTGGGTTACACTTGATGTGAAAATTGTTTTATTCATTAATTAGTTAAAAGGTTGATGTGTGAATTTAATCTCTGTCTATTTTGGTTTTAGAGCTATGGAAGGAAAACTCATTCGTTATCTGATATCACCATCAGTTACTGATCATGTTGGCATAACATAGAATTTCCATGTATGACATTTTATTGCTCCAGCACTGCAGCAGACAACAAGTGCTATGAGATTATCATGAACACAGATAGCATGCCCATTGAGCCCTTTCCTTGATGTATTGGATACATTTATAATTGAATTTCCAGATAATGTAAATGATATAGATTCAAGCTAGATCTTAAGGTGCTAATGTGTGGTCAAACATGGCAACACCCTTTGAAAGTTGCTCCTTACTTACTATATCTCTCACAATGTAGTTTAGCCTCAAGCAAAGGGAAAGCCGCATCAAAAGCGACAGAATGCATAGATAACCTTTTCAGTTTGTATGCTAACAAATCATTGGGTATAATTGAGTAAGCACTTTCTTTCTTAACTCCTTGAATACATTTATGCTGTTTTATGTTTTTATTTTCCTTCTTTGTGCTAATGATGATGTTGGTTATTTCTTTACAAGTTATTCTTTCATGTTGTGATATAATCCTAGTCTGACATTAGCAAAATGGTCTCCAATATTATAGAACACGCTTCATGTTTTTATAACCGTTGAAGTAATTTATTGCTTAAAAGATTCCTACGTTTATAGTGACTTGTTTAGTGTTTACTGTTTTTTTCTCGTCTTGATCAGGGGCGGACCCAGGAAAGTCATTTTGGGGGGGCGAAAATATTTGGGGGGGGTTCAAAATACTTTTGGGAAGAGCAAAAATCATTTTTCGTATATATATACACTAAAAAAAAAATTTGTTGGGGGGCGGTAGCCCCCCTGGGTCTCTACTACGGTCCACCCCTGGTCTTGATGATTAGTGTTTGAGTTCTACTGCTATTCAGGATCTTTTTAAGTGCAGAATTTCACCCAAACACACATTCTCTCTCTGATTCTCACTAAAATACTGTGAGATTCATTATGACAATTAAATATTCATAGTCTATAGGGTATAAAGAGTATCTATAAATGCAATGAGCTAATCATTAGGAATCATTTGCAATAGCCGTGTAACCCACATGGAAGTATAAATAATTTAATGACCTCACTTAAAAACAATTCATGCCTAGACCCAATGATGTAATTTACTGTAATAAATAATTTAATGACCTCACTTAAAAACAATTCATGCCTAGACCCAAAGATGTAATTTACTGTAATAAATAAATATTATATTTAGTGAGCAATATATTCAAGTAATATTTTATCACACAAATAATAAAAATTTAGTGGTTTATTATTCAAGTAATGTTTATGCTATTTTTTTTTGTTTTATGCTTATTTTTTATTATGTGGGAAATTTTGGTGCACCTTGTTTAGTTTTTTATTCATAAAAGACAGTCTTTTGAATCAAACATTGTCATTCTTTAAACAGTCCAGATGGTGTTGAGGCATTATGCGCTGATCTAGAAGTAGATCATACTGATGTGAGGATTTTGATGCTGGCTTGGTAAGTCAGTTGTTGGTGTTATATGTGTGTGTGCACATGTTATATTTATTTGGGTTGTGTTTTGCTTACATGCAATTGTTCTTTTACAATTCTCAGGAAAATGAAAGCGAACAAACAGGGATATTTCACTCAGGTAAAGTACCATCTTTGTAAGCTTTACTCAATGAATTAATGCAACTTCAGAGTGGCTAATTTAGTGATTTGTAGAAGTCACATGCTTCTTTAGTATTCCTTATGTACACTTCTTGAATTTGATTGTTAGTTTTGCTTTCTTCTATGTGACTAGCATTCCTTTTGAGTTCTCTGTTGACTGATATAGCTTTTGTTGAAACATTATATTCCCAGGATGAATGGCAATTAGGCTTGAAATCTCTTCAGGTTGATTCCCTTACAAAATTAAAGAAAGCACTCCCAAAGTTGGAGGCAGAGGTATTTTGAGCTACTTTATCTTTCTACTAATGACATGGTTCATACAATGTGCGATTTAATTTGCAGCTTATTCAATAACAGGTCATGATGCCTGCTAATTTTGAGGACTTTTACACTTTTGCATTCCGCTACTGCCTAACAGGTAAGACATGAAGAATTTGAAAACATGTATACAGTTTTTTACTCAATTTTACTTTGTCTCATGTCATAAGTTATTGCTTTCTAGTGTATAACTAGCGTGCCTTCTTTTTTCAGAGGACAAACAAAAATGCTTAGACATTGATAGCATATGTGTACTGGTAGATCTTGTTCTGGGATCACAATTCCGGGCTCAAGTTAACTCATTCACTGAATATCTTAAGGTTGTATCCCATCTTTCCTCATTTCTGATGCTATTTCAACGTAGAATTCCAATGAGTTTGAATTAGAAATTCCACGAGCGGACCTTTGTCCTAACCGGAGACTATAGGAAATTAGGAACTTTGGATTATAGAAATCATGGTATGATTAGGGATATTTTTTATGAAGTGTTATATACAGAAGACAAGATAATTGGAGACATCCTATATGCTTTTTGTTAATCCAATAATTCTGTGGAGTTAAATGTTCTTTTTTGGGGTAAATTAAATGTTCTTTTTTAATGTCAGAGTCAAGGTGATTATAAGGTACTCAATTTGGATCAGTGGACAAATTTTCTTCGGTTTTGCCAAGAGGTACCTTTTATTGTTGATGCTTCCTATTGTTGTCTAATTTGTGCACTTCATTATTGACTTCTGAAGACTTTGGTCTGTAATATGATTTTCAAGTTTGTGTAAAGGGCTGTTTTTCTGTGGATGCATTTTAAAATCGTAGATAAGCTTCCCGGACCTTGAAGACTATGATGCAAGCCAAGCATGGCCAGTTATTCTTGACAATTTTGTAGACTGGGTGAAAGAAAATAGAAGTTAAGTGCATCTTGAAACCATCTCTCGTAATAGCTACCAAGACTTTGGAGTTCATTGCAGCCATTTTATGTGTCAAAAGGCGTTTGTGCTTGCTGAGATTTTCCGAACATCATCAACTGAAGTACCCTGCCGCCTTGTGACAATTATCATTCTACTCAGAATATGAAGCTTTACATTGTTTTGACAGGAATGACATTATCCTTAGTTTGAGCTAGTTACTCATACAAAATATTTTGAATTAAACAAAAAGAACACTGATGCTATGGGATGATGAATGAATATGAAGCTTTACGTTGTTTTGACAGGAATGACATTATCCTTAGTTTGAGCTAGTTACTCATACAAAATATTTTGAATTAAACAAAAAGAACACTGATGCTATGGGATGATGAATGTGTATTGAGGTTGCATGCATAATTTCAGCTACAATTTTTTTGTCCATAAAGCTCATATGCTTCAAAATAATGTCACTAAGAAAATGAAGGTGTTGAATGGCAGAATCACACTTGCCCTCTGAAATTCTTCATGTTTCTGTAAAGATGTTTGCTTGTTTCATTACTAGAACTATGCATAGAACCTCTTAGCAATTTACCATGACATGAAATTGATGACAGGTGCCAATCAGACCGGAACTCTCAATGCCCATGGGTCACATAGTCCATTCGAGTAAACCAGTAGTTGGATAGGTGATATATACTCTCTCGGTCCCTTGTAGTCTTGCACTGGGTCTGGGTGGTCCAACCCGGTACTGGCCCGGTAACCAGACCGGCTTATTAGCATGACGGGCTGGTAGGGGTGGATTGAACCGGCCCGTGAACCGGCCTACCGGGCTTGGGCCATGTTTTTCATGAACCGGCCCGGTTCATTTTTTTTTTTGTTTTTTCAATTTTTTTTCTTTTCCTTGGGTAGGGCTAGGTGTTTTGGGGAGGTTTGAGGGGTGGGGGTTAGGGGGGGGGGGGTCGGGGGTTAAAAAAATTATACATTGGACCGGACCGGACCGGTTTGGCTCGGACCCGGTATCAACCCGGGCCGGTTCCCAGCACAACTTCTGAAAAAAAAAAACGCCCGGCTCGAACCGGACCGGGCCCGGTCCATGCCTAAGGGCTGGGGCTTTAACATAGGGGTAGGGATGGATTCGGTTCGGGCCACCCGGCCCGTGACCCGGTCCGGCCCGGGACCGGCCCGGTCGGGTGGTCCGGGACCGGGTATGGACCCGAACCGGTGGGAAGGGGCGGGGTGGGCTCGGTGCTGGATTATTGTGACCCGGCCCGGCCGGGTCGGGCCCGGGTCCGGGTCTAATTTAATTTTTTTTTTTTGGTTTGGGCTACTAGCCGTTGGGGGTGGGGCTGGGGACAACCCAAACGGCTATATAGCCGTTGGGTGGGGTAAAGGGGGGGTCCGGGGGGGTTGGCTGCTGGGGGGTGGTGGGGGGAGGGTAAAAAAACCTATAAATACTCCTAATCTTAAACATTTTTTCATATCTCTTCTCTAATTCTTCCTAAATCCTATTCTTAACTCTCTACTCTCTAATTCTCTTATTCTCCAATATATTATATTTATTATTTATATATTTACTTTATAGTTAATACTTAAGAAGTTAAGATGGAAAATCAAGATGCCATTATACGGTATAATTTTGATAAGCAGAAGGATCCGAAGACCGGGATGTGGTATGCAATTTGCAAATGGTGCGAGAAAAAATGTAGCATGAGGGTTTCTGGCGGATTCGGAATGACAATCAAGCATATGAAGTCATGTGACAAAGCCAAAGGATCGGGAGGTGCGGGAAGTTCCGATTGATTACAATTTTCAAAATGTTTATCTGTTAAAGTTTGTTTTAATTTTCAAATGTAGTTCCTATTTCATTTCAAATAAATGCAATTGAAGTTTGTTTTTAATACTCGTATAAAACTATAAACTATAAAATATAAATTATATAAAAAACAAAATTTAACCGGCCCGGCCCGAACCGGACCCGACCCGTGACCCGGGCGGGTGACCCGGCCCGGACCGGACCCGTCCAACCCTCGGGCCGGTCCAGGGCCCATGTCATACTACCCGGCGGCCCGACCGGGCCCGACCCGGCCCGAGTCCATCAATACATAGGGGTGGACCCGAGCCGGTTCCGGGCCCTATCGGCCTTTTTTTGGAAAGGGTAAACCAGAACCAGCTCGGGTATAAACCGGGTCCGGGTCAGGCTCGATTCTATGTTTTTTTTGCTTTCTAATTAACAGCCGACCCCCTCCCCCCAAAACACCCGGCCCTAACCAAGAAAAACAAAAAAAATGAAAAAAAAGTCCGGGCCGGTTCAAGAAAAACATGGCCCGAGCCCGGCCTGGCCAACCCGCCCCAACTGGGTAAAAGCCTGGGCCCGGTTAGCACCAACCGGGCCGGTCCGGCCCCACACAGTAGCGGGCTGGGCCGAAATAGGGATGGACTGGTTCCGGTTCGGGCCTCGGTTCATGAAGAGGAGGCCCAGAACCGGCCCGGGTAACCCCTGGGTCCGGGTCGGGTCGGGCCTCGGTTCTATTTTTTTTGTTTGGCTTTTCCTAGTTAATCCCCAACCCTTCTCCTCACCCCCAAACCAACCCTAACCATCTCAAATGGCCCAAAATACCCAGCCCAACCCAAAAACTTAAAAAAAATTCAAAAAAAAAAAATTGGCCCGGACCGGGCCCGAACCGGCCGGGCCGCTTCACCTTTTGAAGGGCTCGTGCCCGAAACGACATCCCACCGGGCCGGGTGGCCCAAACCGGCCAACCAACCGGTTCACCGGGCCGGTCCGGACCCGCACATTAGCGGGCCGGTCCGGTTCTGGGCCGGTTGGCCCGGTCCGAGTCCACCCCTAGGCCGATCCGGTTGGGTCCATCCCTACTTTAACGTTTGGGACCAGATGATAGAGAGCAAGAAGAACCTGGGGCGGGAACGGGATTGGGCTCACTTCCGTGGGCCGGTTCTGGGCTAGGGATTATAGTTTTATTTATTTATAAAATTTATCGTTATGTTTTAGTTGGGCCTATTATTAGTAGAGTGGTTAGTTACGTTAATTTGGGCTTAATTAGGGTTTAAGTAATTTGGGCTTGATTAGGGTTTCTTGTAGAAGGCTATTTATACCCCTCGCCAGGGTTCATTCTGATTATCTGGGAATAAAAGTTGGTTTAGCTTTTTGGCTCTGGGCAACAGTATTTATTTATCGTTGATTATCTGGGCAACGGTTCACCCCGTTGATTTTATTTTTGTGATACACATCAATTGGTCCGACCTGCCGGATCCCGTTTCCGCCAGAATGACTAGATCTAACACCGAGCGTTTGACGGAGGTGGAGGCCGAACATGCCTCGATCAACCAGAAACTAGATGCGCTGAGTGCGCATTTGGATGAGATCGTAGCCGCCCTGGCTGCGCTCACGACGGCAGGCGCAACTGGAGGGACGACGAGAGCGGCGTACGGGGCTTCGGCGGTGGCGATGACGTCGCAGATCGAGACGGCGGCCACCTTCAGCAGCGGCGGCGACTTCGAAGACCAGAGCGGTTTCGCCGCTTCTGGGCGACGTCCGCGAGGCACGCAGGAGGCGCTGCTTCCTTCGTTTGACGGGACGGATCCCATTGGTTGGCTTGCTAGGGCAGAGCAGCAATTTGAATTGAGTTTTACGCCGCCAGAGAGGAAGGTACCAGCGGCTGTAGTTGCCATGGAAGGAGCAGCCTTGTACCGGGTAACGTGGTTAAGGAAGCGGAAACCTAGCATGACGTGGGAAGAGTTTACGCAGGCACTGGTGGCGAGGTTTGACACACGGTTTACGGGCAGTCGTTTTGAGCGATTGTCCGGGGTCAAGCAGACAAGGACGGTGGAGGAGTATACCTCGATCTTTGTCCAGTTGGCTAGTCAGGTTCCTGGGTTGTCTGACGATCATTACCTCGGGTATTTTATGAATCGACTAAAGGGACCGGTTCGGGGTTCGTTGCGGTTGCTGCGCCCGAATAGCTTGGAGACAGCCATGGAATTAGCTCATGATGTGGAGTACAATCTGTCCGTCCAGCGTGGAGGAAGTGACAACCAGGATTATAATCCTTCAGGTGTACGTTCCAGTAGCTTTTTAAGGCCAAACACGAGCCCTCCGTTGACTGCCAGTGGTGACTGCCTACAGGAATCAAGTGGCAGCTTCCCGAAGGATAGTGGACAACCCCCGAGGACAAAGTCAGGACTGTCCGGCGGGCAGCCTACGACACGTTCTCAGTTCACTCGACTTCCGCCAAAGGAGTTCGCAGAATTGAGGGCTAAAGGATTATGCTTTAGGTGTAAGAAACCATTTACACCAGGGCATGACTGCCCCTTTAAGCAATTGCGGGTAATGATAGCTGAGGAGGATGAGGAGTTGGACCTCCAACAACATGAGTACTGTGAAATAACTGGCTGGGAAAAGGTTCCGGAAGGCGATGAAGGATATTTTCCAATCTATTCCATGGTTGGAAATTTCAGTCCTCGATCTGCGAGATTACAACCTTGAGGACAAGGTTATTTGAAGGGGGATGGATTGATAGAGAGCAAGAAGAACCTGGGGCGGGAACGGGATTGGGCTCACTTCCGTGGGCCGGTTCTGGGCTAGGGATTATAGTTTTATTTATTTATAAAATTTATCGTTATGTTTTAGTTGGGCCTATTATTAGTAGAGTGGTTAGTTACGTTAATTTGGGCTTAATTAGGGTTTAAGTAATTTGGGCTTGATTAGGGTTTCTTGTAGAAGGCTATTTATACCCCTCGCCAGGGTTCATTCGATTATCTGGGAATAAAAGTTGATTTAGCCTTTTGGCTCTGGGCAACGGTATTTATTTATCGTTGATTATCTGGACAACGGTTCACCCTGTTGATTTTATTTTTCTGATACACATCACCAAACCGGCTGGTCCTGGTCCCCTGTAGCCATTTTTTAATTCTTTTTTAAATAAAGGGTTGGGTACCCATGCCCCGACCCAGGACCGACTTGACCCGTGACCTGCCCGGGTAGTCGGACCAGAATCCGTACCGGACCAAATCGGGTCTGTACCGGGCTTCACTATTTCGGAACCGGGACCGGCCGGGTCCTGTATCGGTCCGAACCGAGTCCATGACTAGTCCCCACGAATAATGTATACTTATCATATTGACAAGGAATCATATGATTGTAATGCCTATGTTTTGTTACAAGATCCAATATCAAATACTCCATTCTTTCCGCTAATATTGTTCCATATTTCTTTTTAGTCTATCCTATTAAATTGTCTTATACTCAGTATTAAATTTGATAATATTTGTGTGTTGTAAATCGTTCTTACTTTATCAATTACTCCCTCCGTCCCATAAAATTCTTCCCACTTTTCATTTTGGGCCGTCCCAAAAAATTCTTCCAACTTATCATTTTTGGACAATTTGTGTGGTTCACATTCAT